TTATGATCTGTCAAATTTGTAGTTTTCTTTACTGGTTTTGAGTGTTTATCTTAAAACTCAAGTTTCTTGGTTCTTTACTCTTGGTGTAAATCGAATACATTTGTGGAGTCGTTTAAATATGTTAGATTTTAAATATATTGGATTTTAAACTGTCATACAATTTTTTTCATTCGATAGTTTGTAATTTGAACCATAACTCTTATTTATTCAAATTTTATAAATATGTAAAGATCAAGTGTAACCTATATCATCGTTAAATCTTATCTTATAAAACCAGCGGAACTTTAAAATCGTTAAAATTCATGGCTTCCGTCGCATTGCACGGATACACAACTAGTCGATATATAATATGAAAAGAAAGATGGTGTTTGGATACTCCATGGAGTCGTATTAGGGTAACTCTGCTAGCAATTGGTCAACATATGTTTTTGGGAGAATAATCGTGTCCACGTGTCTTGACCAACGAAAGGCGAATGAATCACAAATCATTCAAACTTATTTCATACCCTCAACAATTATCCACATCCAAATTGCGATATGCTTTATAAAATAACAAAAATACATTGTAAACGTCGTCACTGTGATATACTTTAATCTATCAACATCTTTAAAAGATAATATATATTAGATAATCACTATATTAAGTAATTAATTATCGTTAAGATAGGTAAAAATAACAACAATACAAACTATGGTTAAGATTGTTAATGTGAAGTTCTTTTTTGAAGTATATAATATTTATATACGACAAATAAAATAAATAAACTTACACGCTCTTTTTATTTTTTGTGAGGTTTAAACACATGACCTCTTAAAAGACCAAAGACTCACATACCACTAAGCTAGAAGCCCTTAGGTTAATATGAAGTTAGTAGGTAAAAATATAGAATTCAAAATGTTTTTTTTTTTTTTTTAAAAAGTCATGTTTGAAAATCTTTTCAACTTATATTGAGTTTATTGGAAAAAACCATATTTCATAATCCACAAGTTTAGCTTATTAACTATCCTTTTTAAAGGCAATTCCAAATTAGGTGCATGAGCTCCAAGATCTTTGTCCAAATTTTTCCCTTCTTTTATTTTTTTAATTAATATTTAAACATGCATTTTTAAATCATTTTACATTGTTATATAATTTATCAATTAATACAGTGTGCAGTGAATCATCTGATTCAATTAAAACCAACTAACCATAATTTGATATTCAATTGAAGTTGGATCAGATCTGATCCAAAATTTCAACATTGTAATTGGATCAGACAGTTACTAAATGCAAATGCAAATTCATAATTCAATAAACTCGAATTGTCGTCAAGTATACACAATATTTTAGGCTGTTGTTTTCAGTTGATATTTGTATGTAGTTTTTTTGTTTAAATTAGGAAAATATATGAATAATTAGTTGAACCAGTGGATTAACTGTTTTAAAATTGGATCAATATATTAGATAAATCCAATTCGGTCAAATAGATTAAGAGTAGTAATATCAAATAAATGGAACCATTGTAATACAATCAACAATTGGATTGAATTAGATCAGCTATATAATTTTACTTAGATTGAATCAGATAGATAAAATTCAACATCCAAATAGTTATTGAATTGTATCGGTTTCATATAAAAAATAAAAAATTCATATAGATAAGAAAAATGTATTGTATTTTTAGTCAAGGAATCTACTTTGAGTGGCGCCCCCTTCCAATCCAATCCAATCAGTAAACTGCAGTTAATTTTTGGTCCATTGTTGTTTACATAAAATTATGAATTAATTCCCTAAACTTCAATAAATATAATAATGGTCGATTTAACAAGCATCTTGTTATAGACAAGTCCCTCTGATTAATCCCGTTAAAAATACTTGGTTAAATAAAGAGTATTTATTTATTTTATTTTTTTACATATTTTTTGTTTGCCCACCCCTCTATACGTTTTAACCACACACAATAGGCGACAAGTCCCCCATGAAGAAGGCACACTTAACTCACTAGAAAGGGACTATGCTTCAGTTCCTAAGAAGGAAAGTACGATAACCAGTGTTGCAAGACGACCCATATAATTTTCTGAACATTTAACAAATTGCATGCCCTCAAGGTTAAACGATGGTAGCGACTTTTCTTGACACAACTCCACCATTCGCCCCGTCTTTCACCCATACATTCGTCATCATAACATGGAACTGAACACATACACGTACATCAGCGTAAATCAAATAACTTTCAATATATAGTTTCTCATCAATTCCTAATTACTAGAATATGGTGGTGGTGCAAATGAAATTGAGGGTGGGGGTGGGGGTCACCTTCATCCCTTAGAGGACGGGGTGGGGGTCATGGGGAATAAAATTGGGTGGGGGAGGCGCTTCATGAATATAGTAATAAAGAAAATTTATAAAACTAACCGGTTTACATAATCCTTTGCCATAAAATAACCATATTTTAGAGGTTTTACCTGAATGACCACACGAATCGCCCCCGGGGGCGATCCGTACACTACGGGGGCGATCCCCCCGTAAGTTTTAAAAAAAAATTCCTCAAAAGTCGATATTATTGTTCATCCTCTCGTTGATCGTGTTTGACCTCACCCCGGGGAGATCCGTATTGTACCCGGGGCGATCCGGGGCGATACAGGTTTTTTTTTGTTTTTTTAATAAAACTGATACGCCATTGAAGTTGTATTTTTTAACTTTTTTAGAACCAAATTTCATGGGTAAAGGTTTCAAAATAAACCTTTATAATTATGGAGAAGCAAAAATTATTTTTATCTGCTTTGGGTTTCGTAAATCAGATATAATATCTTATTGACGAAATTTGACATCTATTTTGTCATTTTGTGTTTTTTATTTAACAATTAAGGGGTGTTTTTAATAAAAATGAAAAAAATACATAAAGTGTGTCTTTTTACATATTTAATTTTAAATTTCACAGTTTTTCGTTATAAAATAACTGGATGATAATTGTTGTATTTTTTTTTTCATTTTTTGGTATTTTTAATAAAACTGATACTCCATTGAAGTTGTATTTTTTAACTTTTTTAGAACCAAATTTCATGGGTAAAGGTTTAAAAATAAACTTTTATAATTATGGAGAAGCAAAAATTATTTTTATTTATTTTGGGTTTTGTAAATCAGATATAATATCTGATTGACGAAATTTGACCTCTATTTTGTTATTTTGTGTTTTTTATTTAACAATTAAGGGGTGTTTTTAATAAAAATGAAAAAATACATAAAATGTGTCTTTTTACGTATTTAATTTTAAATTTCACGGTTTTTCGTTATAAAATAACCGGATGATAATTGCGGTTACGAAAAAAAATATTTAGTTGATGTTTGGAGAAAAAATCAGACATTATATCTGATTTCGCGGTTTTTCATGATATGACAACTCTATGACGTCGATTTGACGCCGATTTGACGTTGATTTGACGATGATTTTGTTTTATTACTTAACGTTTTATATCAATTGGACGTGGGGGACCATTCATCCTCGCCACCGACCACCGTCATCGGCCGCCCCTCACCACCTTCCGGCGCCAACAACCACCCTCCGCCGCCAACGACCACCGTCAAGAGCCGCCGTCCACCACCCTCCTCCGCCACCAACCATCGTCTACTGCCGCCATCCACCACCGTCCGCCGCTACTATGGAAACACCTGTAAATACTCTATTTATCTTTATATGTATATGTATTTATCTATATATATGTATCTTTCTCTCTATCTCTCTCTCTCTCTATATATATATATATATGTATCTATCTATCTATATATATATATATATATATATATATATATCTAAGTACCGTTTATATCATTTTTTTTTGTGATGGTTGATTGTATTTAGTGGGTTAAAGGTTGTGATGGTTTATTGTGTTTAATGGGTTAAGGGTTGCGAGAGTAAAATATATGAGAAAAGAAATGGAAGGGAAGGTGTGAAAAATTATGAAGTAGGAGGTTGATATTTATAGTGAAATTGGTATTAGAAAAAAAATCAAAAAATAAATTTTCTTTTACCCGGATCGCCCCGGGGCAAGGTCAAACACGGTCAACGAGAGGATGAACAGTAATCTCGAATTTTGAGGATTTTTTTTAAGACTTATGGGGGGATCGCCCCCATAGTGTACGGATCGCCCCCGGGGGCAATCCGTGTGGTCATTCCGGTAAAACCTCTAAAATGTGGTTATTTTGTGGCAAAGTGTTGTGTAAATCGGTTATTTTTATAAATTTCCCTAGTAATAATATATTTTTCAGATTTTATTTTTATACAAAATTGATAAATAATATAACATAATTATTTTTAAAGGAAATAAAAATAAAAAAAACCAAAATATCTCTCAATTAACACTACTAGAAAACTAAGTATCAACGCAAATTAATGACAGAAAAAATATCTCGTTAATCAGTGAGAGAATCTGTGAAAACTAATTCCCTCGCTGAAAATATCCATCGCCGATCCGTCGTTGAAAGTTTCCCTCGCTGATAGCATTATCTACGAGCTGTTGATCGACAGACATCAACGACGGTAGACCCCTATAGCGACGGATCATCGATGAAATTTTCCCTCGCTGATACTCTTCATTTTTATAGTGTAACGACACATTATCTAACAGTATTAGTGCCAGGAGCTGTCTTAATAACAACACAATAGTGATCACTATTTGTTGCGTCAAGGTGTCTTGAGAACTGAAGGCGAGAAAACTTGGAGGTAAGATATAAGCGTATAAGAGACATTTAAGAGATTAGGTTACCATTTATTCATCCAGATTATTTTAAGTAATAAGAGACTCTAAAAATAATAAAAGAAATCGGTTTTAATTTTAAAACATTTGATCGAATCAGACATAAAATGATGATTAAGAGACAAAACTGAAAAAACAAAAAGTTTAGAGAATTAAATAAGTTTTGTATAAGCGTAGGGACCAATATTGTAATTTACTCCTAAAAATTTATTACAGCCCCCATCTTTAAAGCCGCCCTATTTATCGCATCTCTTCTCTCCGCATACCATACATCTCTCTCTCTCTCTCCAATGGACAACCTCGATGCAATTTTTCACTATTCATCCTCTTCAACTTCACCGCCGGCTGCCGTTTCTTCACACTTATCACTAAACATGTCCAATCGTTATTCACTTGCCGATCACAGTAATACAAACCATTACAGCAGTTACGATCAATCGGATGATGATCACGACCTCCGATTAATCGGAGAAAATGAAAATGGCGTCTCAGACAATATCTTCGTCGCCGATCACGTTTCTCCGACTACTAATAGCTTCAGTAATTGTGATGGCAGCGAATTGAATACAGCGAACAAGTTGAACGTCAAAAAAGGCGAGAAGAAGATTAGAAAACCTAAGTACGCATTTCAAACGAGAAGCCAGGTCGATATCCTTGACGATGGTTATAGATGGAGGAAGTATGGTCAAAAGGCTGTGAAGAACAACAAATTCCCCAGGTAAATTAACACGTAATTTTCGATTTCATTTAATATTGGATATAAATTAACGATCAATCTTCAGAAAGTGATGATCATTTCAAACCCTAATGTACGTACAGTAGAAAGATCTGGTTTTGTGGGGTGAAAAATAGTCAAAGATAACCCTCTTTAGTCAATAGTCAATTTGCACAAGATTATATCTAGAACGAGCTCAACAAAATATTACATGGATTTATAATTATTAAAGATGGTGGATATTCAAACGAATACCTTCCTTTTACGGAAAGACATCAGGGGACTTGGTAGTGTGCTGATAACTGGGCTCGTGATTGTTTGTTTGTTTACCGAGTATCACATGCGATTGAGTATAGTAAAAAAATGTAATTGTGTTTCCGTAAGATAAATGCGGTTTTGTTTGAATCTTTTCCTATTATATTATAGCCGGATGATATACATGTGCATTCAAATGAGATATATTGATTGAGTCAGTTTAGCACATATTAATTAAGAAAAGGATTTTCATCGTTATATTTTTGTTTAATTTCAAACTTTCTTCGCATTCAAATTTTATATTTGTTTTCATTTATGGATGGGAGTATTAATTAGATAAGGTATTTGCTTGTATTTCTGATTTATATATAGGAGCTACTACCGTTGTACGCAACCAGGATGCAACGTAAAAAAGCAAGTTCAAAGGTTATCAAAAGACGAAGGAGTTGTGGTGACGACTTATGAAGGAATGCATTCACATCCAATCGAGAAATCTACCGATAATTTTGAGCATATTTTGACTCAAATGCAAATCTACTCTTCTTGCTAGCTAGCAACGGTATAGATTACAAGAAAATTTAGAGAAATGCGCACGCTGGACGGTTTGCTAGCTAGCCCTAAACCAATATATATGATGCTTTACTTATATTTATCTCAAGTATTATACTTGTATGGATTCTGTTTTTGTTTATGATCCTTACATCAAATAAAGGAGCATGTAAATGAAATTAATTAAAGCAAGGTTGTAAATGGTGTAAGGTGTGGCATGACGGTGAGGTCAACACTCAAGCCTTAAAAGTTACGTTTGCGCTGCGATATGTGTCTTATCGCAGCAAATCTACATATCATATAAATTACTATATATATAAACATATATTTTCTACTATATTTAATGAGTCGATAATATTAAATAAATTAAATTAGGTTATATATTAAAAACTGACAAATAAAACATTAAGAAAAGTAAGGGGCTGTTTGGCGGTTGCTGAATGATTTGGTGCAGAATGGTTAAGTGGTCAAAATGGTTAAGAGGGCAAGAATGCTTAAGTGCTGAATAAAATAATGTTGTTTGGTAACTGTTCTCTGAATGACAGTAAATTATCATTTTAACCCTGATTCACATTAGGGATGCCACTTCAACCTTCACCACCGCCACCGGCAAAAATCACGTAATTTGATCCATTACCAGAATCCTCATCTTCTTGTTGTGGTTCTTGATCAGATGATTAGGGCAAAACAGTAAAATTAGGGCAAATCAAGCAAACTACAAACTGAAACCAGCACTAAAAGAATCCACCAGGCAAAACACAAGTTACTAAAATACTAGGCAACAACTAGGAATTAAAATGCCTAAACCAAAAGTGATAGATCTCAAAACCTACGATAGATAAATCTAGCATTCAATCTTGAAAGGTGAGCAAAACCTCAAAATCAAAAGGCAAATCAACGGAGATAATCAAAAACCACAGAATTCTAGAAAGATGTATACCTTTGGGGGCGATAATCAAATCAACGGAGATAATCAAATCAACCCAAATCCATATCCTTCGATTATCTCAATAATGAATGAATCAAATGTGATAAAAATGAAAAAGAACCGTTGAGTATGAAGAGACGTGCGTGAAGAGAGGGGTTGGGAAGAAGGGGTGGAAGCAGAACGATGACCTGAGTGTCGCCGTCGGAGAAGCAGAGGCGGGCCTAGTCGCCGATGCCATTGTTGGAGAGAGGGAATGAAAAAGGAGGCAGGTCTGTGAGATGGAGAGATTGGCGAGATCGTTTCGGAGGAAGAACGATGCGTGGGAGGAGGAGGGGGAACGATGAAGCTGGAAGGAGAGGAGATGTGGGGAAGGGTAATCCTGGAAAAATAAGCCTCTGAACCATTAGGCAACCCATTAGATGCAAAATCGTTAAGAGGTAATTGTCACCATTAAGAGGTTCCATTTTTTTTGCCAAACAACCCCTGCCTCTTACCGATTAAGACGCTCCCTCTCAATGTCACCATTAATAGGCAAACAAACAACCCCTAAGAAAAATCAAATATGGACTTACCAAGAATGCTTATTAGGTCATGGTGTGCCAGAGGTTTAATGTGACATGAGATACAAGCTTTAAACCATAACGGCTGTTGCGGGTGAGCTTTTTTTAACATTGAATTAAAGTGAATAAACCGTAACACAAATAGCGACTTAGGGGCCGTTTACCAAACGCTTACTCGGGTAAGTGAACACCAATTCATTTGATCTTACAGGATGAATATGGTAAGGATACAAAATCTTACCCGGTAAGAGCAAGACAATGACCAAGAGTCTTACCCGGTAAGTGAGGGCGACGACTCTTACCACGGTAAACGCTTATCGAGCAAATTGTTGCATACGATACAGTTTTGGGGGACTAAAATCTTATCCGATAAGTAAATGATAGTGTTAATTAAATTTACCGGTAAGCGCTTACCGGGTAAGTGTTTAGTAAACGACCCCTTAATCTATTTTGTGGTTTTGAAGTGAAGTTAGTTTTTAAGGCAAGAGGGGAATTAAGATTCATAGTTATAAAATTCTTGTAGCATGCATGCATGGCATATTTTACCATCTTTAATGGGAACACTAGATTTTATATCAAATTCCCAATACATTTTAATGAATATGGTAACACATCAAATTAGACGTAACATTTTTCATTTATATCAAATTGTATACCAATAAGAAAAGGTCAAAAAGAATGGTGTTATTTATTGAAGACGCCTTAATTAATTTGCAATTGATATATCTATATCTATATATATATGGTTGGGTTCACGTGAGACCAAAGGTTTTTCATATGACCCGTAAGACCAATTTATGTTCATTGATCAACTTTATAAGCTAATGATCTAATCGTTTAAAGTTGTACGGTGACAATTTTGTAATTATTGAGAAATCTCGTGGCGTTTATGAATGTTCAAATCTGACAATTGTAGATATAATCCAAAGGTTGAGAATTGGTCTTACGGATCTCACGAAAAACCATTGGTCTCACATGATCCCAAGTCTATATAATATATATATATATATAGGCTTAATCAAATGAGAACTGTTTTGTTTGTGGTAACCGTGAGATCCAATTTCAATCAATCATTTTAATATATTAATTATTCTTTTTTAAATCAATGTAAAAGGGAATGTTAGTAAATTACTAAATTTAGATTAAATATTTATTTATTAATTCCATACGTTTCAAACTTCCAATTAATTTTGATTTTACATTCCTAACTACGACTACACGGAATGTTTTTATTATGAAATGAAATTTAAAAGCAACTCATTATTTAATGTTTACCTTATATATTTGTTTCACAATTTTTCTGTTTTATATGTATTTGTTTTACAATGTGAAATTTTTTTTGTGTACTTTTTGTTTCACAAATACGATAAAGAGATTCACATTATAAATCGAGTACATGTGAAACAAACACATTATAAAACAAATATATGTTAATCAATATTTTAAATTATAGTCTTAGATGAAAAATTTTCATATGAAATATCACTCTGTCACCGGAACTCAACCCCATTATATACATGAGCAGATTCAAACGAGAAATTAAACATTTTACGAGAAGTCAAAAAGTTTCAATATCATATATGATTACACGCATTATATACAAGACACTTAATCATATATGATTAAACACACCGAAATGAGTATAATCACATACGATATTAAGATTTCTCAGATCTTACAAAATGTTTAACTTCTCACGTGATATTTTTGGAAAAAATCAAATGCAACGTTATAAACATGTAAGCCAATTATGGCACTTATTAATATGTAAATTAGATAATCACACCATCGCGTACCCTCATCATATACATATATTTTCAATATCTTTTCGATCTTTATATAACTCGTTCACTAAATGTGACCATATATATGTAAATTGGAAAAAGTAGTTGAATGTGATATACTTAAAATTGAAGGAGTATGGATAAGCTGTATCAAATGATTAATGATAAAAAAGTAATTATAAGTAAAAAAAACAAGATATTCAAGGTTAGAAGAATGTTTAGATATACAAAAATATCAATTCAATCAACTCGTACGGTACGGTTTGGTTCGAGTTGGGTTACGCTCGGGTCTGAATTGGATTGAAATTTTCCAAAACACAAACATAAAATCGAATTGAACGCAAACTATGTGGATGAATGCATGTTCCATGAAAAGCGTTTGTATGGAAAACCAATTTAGATCTAAAGGGAGGAGGGGCTTGTTTAAAGCAAAGATAGGTCAGGTTGGCTAACCTACCATCTAATATAATAACTTCCATGTTTCATTTTACGGCTGATATAATTATTTATATTCTTTATGAAATATTAATTGTTTACTTGCGTGATGACGAAATATCATATACGGAGGAGGAGAGTTAAAGCACGCGAGACCGTAAGAAGGGATAATGGATCTTTGATCATCTTTTATCTCAAACTCACTCATATATCGCGCTAGATATGAAAATTGATCCGGTGCTTCTCATCCTAATGTGCATCAAAGGTGGATGTCTCTTCTTATGTTCCTCACTTTAACTCTCATTTTCATCTGAATTCAACCCGGGAGTCATTTGTCAAATATATAACAGGCAAGTGATTGGGGTGTCACTTACCTTCCGAGTGAGGATAACAACAAACTATAATCTTTGCCAAAACAAAATAAGCATTAAATTCTTCGTAACTACTAGTTAAATTAAAGGCAATTGAAAAAACAAAAAATTAAAGGGCGAAGGAGGCGCAGGACGCACATACTAATTGACTTCTACCTAACGAAATAATTGTCTTGAATTAATCTAGTAAACTAAACTAAACCAAAACAAATTAACAAAGTAAATCTCACTTGAAAGTAGGATATGGAACGAGTACAAACTTGATCTCTACTCCAAAAAAGGTGGTACTGTTGTTTCCATGGCATGGATACATCCGACTACTGCAACAAGTTTTAGCTAGAATATAAGAGAAATTAACGAGTAGGTGGACTCAAAACATAAGATATCAATAAATTATTGCCTATTTCACCATAACTTACAATACTTATTGTAATAAATTTTTATTACAATACCTCATATACATGTCTACGCTTAATAACATAATAAACATTATAACAATTCGATCAATTCATGTTTTTTTGAAAGGTCACAATCTTATTAAAGGAAAGAAACAAGAGAAGCAAAACAACCATCCAGAAGATTTATGCAAGATGCATAAACAAGAAACATTAGATTAAAAGCGACTAAAAAAGAAGCAAATGACTAAAAGGGAATCCAAGACACCATAAGAAACTAAGCAAAACCCCTAGCAAGAAACATATAGAAAATCAAAACGAAAACAAAGACGAAGAACCAACCCACAAATTGCATAATCAAAAAGCAACCAAATCACTAGCAGAACAAAATTGTGACAATCAGTTTATCCGTAATATTTTTATACATAAAATACTAAAATGGCAAACATTAATATAATATTATCAAAGTAATATAAATAAACTCATTCAATAAATATATTATCATTTAAATAATTAAAATAAATTGATTTAATTTTTAATTACTAATTAGTCATTAATAATTAAACAGGATTAAATATAGCAAAAAAGAAAATTGGAGCCTAAGTGATTAATTAGATTTAGTCCATATCTCACAAACAATCCACCAGAGCCTGAGCCAGAAAGTAATCCTCTCCTCAGGTCCAAAGATTGGTCCAGAATTTTGGAAAGCATCTTGAG